TTTGCATCCGGGCTTGGGACGTCGGCCGGGGAAGGTGGCAGGCAGCAACAGAATCGCGCCAAGCTGCAGGGTTTAGGGTTCCTAAACCCGAAACCCCAAACCCTAGGCTTCCCATGCATGGGCTCTCCGATGTCTTTCGGCGATTGGTTGCTGCTCCGGGACGGATCGTGCCGCTGGTCGACAGCATTGGAATCAACGAACCACGCGGAACCAAGGACATTCCCGCCAACAGCCTGACTACTTTTTCACAAGGGGCTCGACTGCGTCATGAGTACTGAGTACTGTGTTGAGGGTCGAGCTGGGCAACACCTGACTATAAACTTAGAAACCCTAGGAAACTTTGGACACCAAAGCCCTGCATCAATCACATAAAATCCTAAAGCCTGACCCTTAAAAACCCTGAACTGTTTCTAACATAAACCCTAAGCCTCAAACCTTAGTTTCAAGATGCACCCTATATAAACCCCATAAGCCCTATAAACCCCAAAGCCGTCCTGAGCCGACTTGGACCCTGAACGCCGCTTGGGCTTGGGCTGGCCGGGATGGCGACCTCCGGAGGAAGGACCTCCAGGCGCTTTTATTTTGGGGGTCCTTATAGTAAGGATCCTACTATTTAGGGTACTATATTAGGGTCCCCCTATTTTCGGAAATCCCCATATGGCTGCTACATTTTCAGCACCCTGGTTTCGTGTGCACCGATCGCTTGACGCCTATGAAAGACATGAAAACCCCTGAACCCTAAACCCTCGTGGTATAGGTTTTAAGGGTCTCGGGGGAGCTGCAGTTCGGTTCCCTTGGAGTTTGGGGCTTGAAGGGATTAGGGCCTCAGGGGATTAGACGTCGAGTTTAGGGCTGAAGGGGGTTAACTACCCTTCCACAGCCTTACACCACGCACATCCATGTACATCCATGCCAGTGCAGAGACTATAGACCGTGACCATGACTGTGGTTCATGGCATGGATCGCACATCCTAAATCCATCATCCGTGGCAAAATAGCAACCGGAGCTCGTGGTCATCCTGCACCTCACCACTGCATGCTCCGTAAGCACAAAATTTCTCAAACCCCCGAGTTCCAAGTAATTGAGCTGTCTGTTGCCCCACCTCATAGCCTAAGTGCCCCTCGACGGTGCCTGTCTCCGTCTTGGGTTTCGGATGTCGGCCGCCACCATCAGGTAGCAAACGTAGCTGCACCAAATTACCGGCGATCCGCATGACCTGTCGAGCGAGGCCCTGCGAAGAGATCCTGCGACACACCCCTGCACCGGCCACATCATGTGTGTGTGTGTGTGCTTCACTCTTTGCTGGCCCTTGCCTTTTGGGCCATTTGGGCCCTGGGGCAACGATTAGAAGCCAGAAGATTTGGCGTTGGCCTACCTGGCATGCCGAGTGCAGAAGTTGATCCAACCTCCACAGCCGCACCTTCGAAACCAGTGTCGACTGTCACGCTCCGAGCGACAAGGCCTGCGAAGCTTTGAAGGCTCGGGTGCCTGAAGCGCCTGCACCTACGACACTTCTAAGCATTCAATCACCACAGCTTATGTACCCAAAACATTCCGCCTGCCCTGAGACTCGGTAAGTTCTGCTGCGATTACATGCGACGAATGATGCTTCTGCTCCGCCAGCAAGCCCTCACACCCTCGCCTGGGACTCCATGTGCAGATTCGGCAAGTTTCACTCTGACATCAGGATACTGACAAGGTACTTGTAGTGTCAAGACAATCCCGTGCCTCGTCGTTGGCAGTGTGGGGAAGTTTCCAATGAGGGATGGCATGCTACGAAGACAAGTCCTGCTGGGTGCCAAAGCCACAACTCCCTCATGAGCTCAAGAAACTTTGCAATCATGCCAATATTTCTCTCCGCGAGTTATGAACTCTTGCATGCTTTCACGCATGGATGGGTGGATGAATGGATGGGTGGGATGGATGGGACCGATGCTGAAATGGATAGAGGGATGGATGGATGCATGACTGAAAACGTATGAACAGGAAAGTCCGAGCGACTGCGACGCTCGCTAAGCACGGTCGTTGGGCATCCCTGTTGTAGAGGACTATAAATGCCATGATTGGGTTGTGGCACATATGGTGTAAGGGTAGATTCCGAGTAGATGTCCAAGCCTACACCACCTACACCCGTGGAGCGTAACCCTTCTGGAGCCAGTCCCCAAAAAAACCTTACCCTCTTGCATCCGGTCTGCAGCGACTCTACCGGGAAAGACTTGCATCCGCGCCCTTAAACCCCTTAACCTTTAACCTCAAAATACATGCGACGAAGCAGTTCCATGACCCCTTTCCTGGCAGGAGCGCACTCGCGACCGCCAGCTGACAATGCCCCGTCCGCCGAGGCTCGGTTCTCATGGCAATAACTAGAATCTACGAGAAGCTACCATAGCAGACTAACTTCTCTGTGCGGTACTATGCTATACTGTAGTATACTGTAGTGTGCTGTACTATACTTAACCATACTACAGTACTGCAAAATATACTGTTGTATTGCGTACTATAGTATACTGTTATATACTGTAACATACTGAAACTCAAAACACTATAATATACTATAACATCCCATAGTATAATACTAGGTTTTTGATCGAGAGCTTCCAAACGTGTGACGCAGGCTTGGCTCTCACAGGGCTTGTTCTGTGCATTGCGGCAATGTTCGCTGCAAGTGATCTGCATCCCAGTCTCTTTGCATGGCTTCGGCGAAATATGTTGTTCATTGTGGTTCGAGTCCTCTTCATGAACCCGCAAGCCCTTAAACCCAAACTGTGAGCTCTAAGTCGCACACTCCAAAGTCCCAAAACATGTCGAAGCCCCATACCCTAGACCCTTTTACCCTTTTTTTTGCATCCAGGACTAAACCCTAAACCCTAAACCCAAAACCATTTTACCGTAACCCCTTGAACGCCAGAGCCCCAGTGATCGCTCAGATGTAGCTCAGAGCCGATGCTGCGCGCCTGTCTCTCGACTCCGGAAAGCCTGACGTGTGAGATTCTGCCGAGATTGTGTAGGGGCTAAAACGTTTAGGGAATTTAGGGTTTAGGGAATTGTAGGGTTAGCATGGGCTAGCTTTTCGATGCTTTTCGAGTCTCACTCTTGCACGAGGCAGGCCTTTAGTGTTTAAGGGTTTCGGCGGTTTGGGGTTTAGTCTGCTCGGCACCATAACCACTAGCTTGCAGTTGCGGTTCAACACTTGTGTGTTTTTTATCCGAAGCTGTTGTCTCTTCCCTGGCAGCTGTTGGCAGGAACGCACATGAGCATGCTTCGGAAGCGAGTCTTCCCAAGTAAACGACTTCGCACCTGAGTACGAAAGAAGACCCTTCCCTGCCCTTGTTGAGACGACTCGGATTTCGGGTGCTTGGATATCCAGACAGGGCAACATATCCCTCTTGCGCAAGTTCAACGAGAAGGTGCCCGCAAACCCTTTTTAATTGAACCCATACTCTGCCAATCAGCTGGGAAGCAGCACTTCCAGACTCTTGCATCCCCTAAACCCGAAACCGGTGCCTCAACCCTATAAACCCTAAACCCTAAACCGGTGCCTGAACCCTAAACCCTAAACCCTCAATCGGTGCCTACGTGTAAGAATCTGTCGAAGAACCACCCGGCACAGTGCCTCCAAGGGCCAGCATCCCTGATGCATGATGGGATCCTCAGGTCGGTCGGAGACATTATCATTAAACTAAGCTATACTATGCTGCACTGTTATAGTGTGTGTGTGTATGTATGTATGTATGTATGTATGTATATATATGTACACACACTATGCTTTAAATCTACTGTTATACTAAATGCTATAATATACTGTTCTACGCTCCAGTATTATAAAGCACTTTCAGCTTGCTTGTCCACTCGGTGCACAACGCCCTGTGCGCGAAGCAAAGGCTACCAACAGCAGATGGGCACCGCACGCACGGCTGCAAAGACCGTGCGAGGTCGAGTGCTGTCTTGCCTATGACCTGCCGGGCAGATACTCTACAGCATGTTATGACATATTCTAGTACATTCAGACAGATCATAGTATTTTGTGATCGTATAGTATACGATCTTCTGATGTCTTTCCTATGGCCCACAAGATTGGCAGCGAGAGAGCAGCAACACGCCTGAACCTTTGAATGCTGAATGTCCCCTGTCTCCAGTCAGGGCCAATTACAAATCAAGAAAAACCACAGGCTTGCTCAAGAAATCGTTGGCACCAAAGCCGCCCGTGAAACCCGCAACCAACGAAGGCTACACAAGCGGATAGAGAGTATGTTGTTACTCATCATCTCATCGGGACCCAGGGGGCAACACCGTTCAATCGCTCTCTGACAATATCCCCAGACCTTCACACCCTAAAGCCCTAAAGCTTACAGGGCTCGAAGTTGTGTACTCCAGACAACATCACGCAAACCGGTACCCGAGCCTCCTTGCTGCTTTGACCTGGTCGCTCTTCCAAGAGATCAGGGCGGGGAGGGGGGGAACGCCGGGGTACACATCTCTTTCGCTCGCTCTGTCTATCTCCTCTGTATACATACATCTCGACATGCCGAGCACCCGCACAGACACATGTGCGCGCGGTGCAGCACCCGCAACCTGCATATGTGTAATGTATACGTATATGAGTACATCTATGCCTGAACATATACAGTAAATAGACAAATAAATAAATACATAAATAATAGACATATGTATATATATGTACATGTGTACATAAAAATAAAAAAATATATGAAAAAGTATCCATATAAACATACAAACAAATAAACAAATAGACAAATACATTAGTATATATATATGTGTGTGTGTATGTGTGCATGCACATGTACAGTTACATACATTCTGCATGTACAGATGGGCATGAATGTATGTGGTGAATTTCCACAGGTATGATAGTATGTTATAGTGTATTGTGGTAGATTATAGTATGCTATGGTGCAACACAGTAGATTATAGTTTACTCTAGTTTTTTGTATATAGGAGCAGCCCTCCTTCTGGTCTACAGGCTACGAGCCGTGACGTGCCGAACGTGGCCTAAGCTAGCCATGAAGTCGATGAGCACGGCTGCCAGGCTTGTCCTCGGCACGAGTGCAGTGCAGGCAGTTGCTGTTCGAGTTCTTGACTGTAAGGCCTGTAGAATTGCAGAAGCTGAGTAGTAAGTAGTGTGTCTTGCCTCTACTCGTTTGACTTGTGAGCAACGGTTCAACTAAGCAGGTTGCTGCAAACGACAGGATTGGAGCCATAGGGCCATAAGCTTCGCTAGTCGCAGCTTCATAGCAAACCACTGAGGCTGGCCGGCCCCAAGCGCCACGTTTACCTCAGTGCCGCGCAGCTCACCACCCCACTTGGACGAGCTCGCGTAGTCCAGGTCCTGACCAATGCGCATCTCATCCCACTGAATGACGTATCAAAGCAACCCCAACGGGCTGATATTCGCAGATATTATTATATGTCTGGACTCGGGTATGCTCGGGTCCTGACGGAAGGCCACAAACGACTCCTTCCCCTTCTTTCCTCCGACCCCTTCACCCGAATGTCGTCCTTGTCGTCGTCGTTGTTGCTGTTGCTCTTGGCCGGGGGCTGCTGCTGCTGCTGCTGTTGTTGTTGTTGTCGCAGCTGCAGCTGCCCATGCAGTGGTTGCTTCGAGTGTTTCGAGTGTTGGCTTCGAGAGCCTTGATCATCAAAACGATGCCTGCGATGGTGGTGGTGGTGGTGGTGGTGGCGGCGGCGGCGGTGGTGGGTGGTGCTGCTGTCGGTGGCACAGACGGTGATGATGGTGATGGCGAGCGATGACGACAATGACGACAATGCCATAAACCATAAATAATGCTAAGTATGATGATGTTGCTGATGACATGCTGTGATGATGGCGCGGGTGGTGGCGCCGCGAGTCTTGTTGGCAAGTTGGTGCTGTGATCTCGGACAGGATCAGCAGTCGAAAGAGAACCATCAAGACCTTTCTTCCCCGATGTTTCCCACGAAGACTTCCAGGCATTGCTCTAAGTGCCCGGCACCGCCGCGGCCAAGCAGGGCTTCTGCCAGCTCAAGTTGCTCCTGGGTGCCACGTCTAGCTGTGAAGAGCTTGCGGTAACGGTCTTCAGGACACTTTCACGTTGCCGGACTTTGAGACTCCGCAGATTCCGGCTTAGCCGGACCATGGATGCAGAGGGATCGGCAGCCTAGGGGTCGTCAGGTGTTCCGGTGCCATGGACTGGATTCCCATGCGGCCTGTGGCAGTGATCGGGTCGTTTTGCCGCATTCATTGTGAAGTTGGGGTGGAGGCTGCAAACCGTAGCAGGCCGGAAGCACTAAACTTTGTTGCAAAAGACATCGAGAAAGCGGGAGATAGCGGGAGGAAGCCGGTAAAAGCAAACTCAAAATGTTTCTGAGTGACTTCTACGAATACGACAAGCTAGGCAGCATCGTCTCTTTGGATTCCTTGCAGAGAGATTTTGACTACTTGGTTCCGGGGGGAGTGCAAGCTTGCAAGCTTGCTCTTGAGCACTTAGCATGGCAAAGTGTGATCCTAACGACCGCAGGACACAAAGTGACGGGTGCATGTGTATGTATGTATATATATATACACACACACGTGTGTGTGTGTGTATCCGTGTGTGTAGGTGTATCTCTCTCTCTCTCTCTCTTTCTCTACATATATATATATANNTACATATATACACATACATAGACACAACATCACACAACTCACACAATACTCCTACGAAAAGCATTGTATTCTCAGTGAGCCCACTGCCATCACAGCTCGCGCATTCCGCTCGCTGACACCATCCTCGTACAACGTCTGATTGAAATGCAGAATCGAGATGCCGGGAGTGGACTTTGAGGAAATTACTACTTCTGCTACTACTACTGCT